TGGCTGGCGGAATGAAATGCTAATAACGATCAACCTGAGAAGGTGCAAAGACAATTACTTACACGGACGCTAACTTCAGTTTAAACGTCGCGCAAATGGCAAATGATACCCTCATATTCTCCTCGGCAATTCCAGATTTTCAGACATCCCAGAATACTCTGACTAATGATATCGAGCCCTATCATTAGCCTCTCGAGCAACCCTTCCATTGAAATTCCATTCACACTGCGCCAACCGGGGAGGTTCCTTATTTAAATGATTCCTTTTGTCCCTGGCCACGCAGGAGGGATCAAATTTGAAAATTTTAAACCAGCAACGCCCCTCATTTTCAACCCAAACCGACTGCACGAAGACGTGCCGTCTCGTCGCAATAGGACGCCTAATCCTGCGATCTATGTCACTTTGCGACAAGACAGGGTGGGTTGAGATGCGGAAAATCAGGCAGCCAATTCGCAGAAACATCTGTTTGAAAAATCCAGCTCCTCTGGGAGCTTCCTCATTTTCAGAATCCCAGGCTGAGCGCACCTCGAGGAATCTGTTTGGTCACTGTTCGCCAGAAATCCAATGATTCTGTGATGAGTGATTACAAGCCGACCCAAAGTTGATGACACACGCCTTTTTTCGTTCCGGAGAGATCGACAAAAGATCTGATGGTTGATCAATGAAAATTCTATGCGATCTAATCTCATCGACACATTCTTCTCATCTCTGTCATTTCTGTGGCGGTGCTGGACTTTTGTCTCGTCTACAAATTGTGTCAGCAAAGGTGTCTGGACATCAAAAGAAGTGATAAGATCGAACTGAGATTAAATGGACGAATTAAAAAATGTGGAATTCTTTAATTCTTTAATAAATACTCAAATAAGGAGATAATCTTTCTACAATTAACACTAATCTTACTTTTTCCTGAAGCCCCGCCCATTGCTTTGCCTCGCCCATTTGTAAGTATTTTCCCCACTAAACTCGTCAATATTTCATTCTAAATCTACGATGAAGGTTACCTGAAGCATTTGATGACACTGTCAAGGAAACTGATATGGATTTTCCGCATAATTTGAGTCACGCGCCTTTTAGTTTTGCTTGCAATCCCAAATATTTCGTTTCTGCCCCGAAGGCTCATAAATTCAATTCCGCATTGTTTCTCCTCAGTGACATATCACGGAAGAATTTAAGGACACACCATCGCGACTGCATCTCTGCATTGAGTGCTGCTGCGGAGATGAATGGGGTTGGATTTTATAAATTCTTCGTGTGAAGAAAGCATCAATTAATGGTGTTGTGGTGAACCCGCGGGGAATTTTGAGTGAGGTAGACAGGCACAAACACAAACAGTGAGGCACGCAAACTGGGCAATCGATGTGATTGATGAAATGCTTAATGGCAATCGATCTCCGCCAATAACCGCTTTATAAATCCAATGGACAGTGCAGTGGAGGAGAGCAAAATGAGACAAGACAGCCCGAGAAGTTGGCGGAAAAAGTACACCTTTTTTTTCCACCATCTCGAGCGCACATGAGGAAATATAATGGTTTGGGGGAAAAAGTCGGTTCACCGAAAACCCATTTAACAATCAATTTAAATCATGTATTATTTTGTTAATGATAAATTAGCGGGCATTCTTCAAGTGGATGGAATATATTTGTAAAATGTGAAAATGATGCCGACCTCACATCGAGAAATTTTAATAATACATCAACCCAATGAGCACTGCAACATCTCGCCGGCTTTTGTGAGGGAATTTTCATCATGGGCTCTCCCTCACTCCGCCCCCTGCTCTCTTGAGATGTATTTATTGACTCAATTCGTCAAGACTTATTGGTTCTGTAATTACTTCTGGCGATTAATATCCCGGAGATGAGGGATGAGATGAGTTGAGTGGGATGATTGTGGGCCTCCTTTTAATTGAATTATTTGGTGTGAAGCTCCAAATTATGCTGCTCAAATAAACCATATTTCCTTGCAGAAATCATTCTTCAATCTCAACGCGGGGCTTGTAATTACGGACAAAGGCGAATATGAGCGCGTATTGTGTGTACCCAAGCAGCACAAAGTGGCTCGAGAGAGTCAATAAAAGAGTTGTGATAGCATTTAGTGCCATCCCATTAATGGAGTTCCGGATTTTGTCCTTGATATCAATCTCAATTGCCCTCCTTGAGACCATAAAGTGGTGGAAATTCAGCACCTTCCATGTGTTTAAGCAATTGTAGGAAAAAAGTCGCCGCATAAATCATCAAGTTGCTGCATAAAATATCTCAACATTTTGCTATGCCGAAGAGCCAGAGAGATGGTGACAAGAATTCATTGCTCCTGATCTATAAAAGCGATAGAGGATTGAATGGAGACAAAATGCTGAAAATTTAAATGTACACCCGATAAATGTATAAATAAACGGCGCATTGTCGTCATTTAAAATTACCGACAACACGATTCGTGATCGCGCCAAATAAACACCACAATCTCATTGTGGGAGGAGAGTTTTCACTGTTAGATGATGGCAAAATGCGTAGGTTTGTATATCACTGGTGCTCTTTTATACTTACGCGCGCGCTCGTGGTAGAAAAAGTTGAGTAAAAACGTCGACTCTATGGAATTATTGCGGGTATTTGAAGTATCCACCCACGACAATTTTGTCGCTCTCTTGCCTCACTGATCTCTCCATTCTTCTTCTCCATCCACCATCTTCGCCGTGTGGACACTTCTCCGAGTCTCCCAGCATCCAGTCGGGGGAAATGTCACAGTCGCCGTAACTGTGAATTCTTCAGGGAATTATCCCCTTAAACACTCCGTGTCATAATTCTTCAATTGCTGAGTTGCAGCGCTGTTATTACGGACAGCGAGAGGACATCAAAGAGAATGCCAACACGTCTCACTAAATAACAGCCCATAATCGCAATAATAGGCAACGAAATCCCAACCCTGGGCCCGATCCGGGGCATCTTAGCATCATCCTCAAGTGGCTCAAGTGGCCACAATGGATTGGAGTCAAGTTTATTTGCCGAGAAGACACGTGGTGGAGAGCTCAAATTGAGGATTTGCACCTTTTTTTCTCTTCGCCAAAACCACTCATCCTCAATTGCTTTCCCATGAGAAGTGGACCAAAAAATCACTCACGCTGTTTGTGAGTGTATCTTCATGGCGAATGGCAATAGTTCCAGTGTAAATAAACAGAGCTGCTCCGCTGGGACTTGCTCAATGGCGTGACAATGTGCTGCAGAGGATAAACAGCGAGGACACCTGGATATTGCCACGATCATTGTTGATTTTGAGGACCTCCCGCAAGAGGTTGTCTGGAAATGCATTTAAATCCCTGTCGCTTTCAAGCGAGTTCTTGCTGTTTTCGAGTCCTTGTTAGATAATTTCAAATTTATGTAACCAATTTTTCCTCAAGGCTTTAAACAGGATTTTTAAGGATAGTTTTGATTGAAATGTGTTAAAATATCTATTTAAACTGAACACTTTGATGAAAGGAAATAACGTTACAAGATAGAACTTAATTTATGTTGTTTTTACCAAAATGTTCTTAATAATAATTTTCTAGGTTATGCAAATAAATAAAGCAAGATTTAGTGAGTGAATAATCACCAAAAACATTTAATACTTCCAATTAAACAAACATTTGCATGCAGTAAAGATCGCAATTCTAATTTTCTAAGTAATAAAACACTGCAAATTGTACTAAAGTCAAATATAACCTCGAAAATGATCATTTAATTGGAGAGTTTTCTCGTCAAATATTAAATCAAAATCCTTTATTTTATGTTAATAAGTTTCTTTAATTTGTAAACAGGTTTCTTTTTAGTCTCTAAATGTTACTTTCATCAATTTAAAGCAGTTTTCCGTGAAACATCGATTGAAAATTTCTAAAATTGCACAATTAAAGATGTTAGTCTGTTTTCAAACAACAAAATTTATTTTTTAAAAAATCAAGAAGGACAAGATATTCCACTTTTTATAAATTATATATTTTTATATTTTTTCGTGGTCACAAAAGAGTAAATGAAATTACTTGATAATACTGATGAGGTACGAATTACACTATTAAGTTTGGCTGCGGAAAAACGCTGTTCAATTGCATATTCAGTGCTTTCAAAGTTACGCACATTGTTGCACTTCCACTTTACTCACCCTTTCCGCTTTCTGCGGTCTTCGCATTGGAGAGCAATTGTGCGCTAATTTGAGGATACATCGGACACACTATTGGCTGGACTTGAGACTGGGTGAACTGATTGATCGCTCCTTTAGCGGTGCTGCTGCAATTGCCGACTAAATAGGAGTGTAATTAGCCATTGAAGACGGCGGTGGTGGTCATGAAACCGCGCAATCCTTGTTCGCGCTGACGCTAATTTTCCGAGGCACGTCGGCTGCTTAGCGGCCGAAGGAGGGCAGCCAGAAGGTGGGCATGAGAAGTGAAAAAAGACCACTTGAGAAAATTATGGATCATAAACCGCAACGAGAGAGCTTCCAAACGACCCGCAATTTTGCCGTCTGCGGCGAGGGGGTGGGCAGGGCGGAAGGGGGGGCAGGATAATTGATTATGGCTTCTGCAATTGAGAAATTAAATTTCCCGCATTAATGTGCTTTTAATTTTGGGTGCGCGTGATTATGATGAAAGTCAAATAGACGGAATGGAATGTTTTAATTTTCTCATGTGTTCTCCATGTCTCACGATTGGTAATTATAAATGTTGGCTGTTAATTGCAGTGCGAGTGTGGAAGGGAATCATATTCGGTAGTGTAATCTGTCATGTATGGACGTTGGCGGGATGTTGGCGGGATGATTATTTAGTGTTTGATTGATGGCAGCATTAATCATTGATTAAAGAGCGAAAAATAGAGAGCATATTCCACATTTCACACAAATGATAAATTATCCACCCAAAATGACTGACGGACACCTTCAATGTTGTTTCTTTTCCCAACACGGAGATCTAATTTATTTTAAGCACATTTATTTATTTATTTTGTATGTATTTTTAATTAGCTAAAGTGTTTTCGTCTTGTTCTCTTTCATCCGCGATGTACACATCTGGGCGCCTTCTTCGCGCGCGCACAACACAATCATCCATATAGTATACAAAAATATAAGGGGAATATAGAAAAATTTTTATATAATGCAAAACTGATGAAAAGAAATGGCCGGAGATATTTCAACTGTACAAATGCCGTCACGCCACTTTGATATATTGAACATCTCTCTTGCATCACTCAGAGATTCGTCTTGTCAACTTAATTACGCCTCCCTTTCGTCTCTCTCTTTCTCTAACCTTAGAAGTGAATCACAAGTCCGTGAGCGCGTGAGTCTCACTCAACCACCAGTTCCAGGTTCCCGCTGGGCGTCGAGGCGCCCCCGGACAGTCTTGGCAGGCTCCGGCTGCTGCCCTCCGCCAGGCTCGCGATGCCGGACAGATTGTGCGTGAGGCTGTGGCGGCGCAGGTCGCAGTTCCGCCTGAACACCTTCCCGCAGGCCGAGCAGTGGTACGGCTTGATGTCGGTGTGCGTGAGCAGGTGGGTCTTGAGATTGGAGCGCTGGTTAAAGCTTCGGTTGCACACCGGGCACTTGTGCGGCGACTCCTCCATGTGCAGGATCTTGTGCACGGCCAGCGTGCGTGACTGGCAGAAGCCCTTGCCGCACTCTGTGCACTTGAAGGGCTTCTCCTTCGAGTGGATGTACCTGATGGCCGTTCACGCAGGGCGAAGGCGAGGAGACAAAGAAGAGAGAAGCGTTACATTGTGGATAAGCATGAAATTGAGTTGTTCTGCAGCTCAAATTCCTCATCTTGGAAGAGACTTTCTCAATACAGCGAAATGGGCCGATTTAATTAATTAATCTTCCGCTAATCCTTTGTCTTCCTTTGACTCAAAAAGCATTCAAACACATTAAAGCGTATGATCGCTAAAATCGATCTCCTTCACACCGTTCAGAAATGGAGACAATATTCAACGCATCAGCATTTCAAAGGTATTATTTTACACCTCAAACATGCTATTCTATAATTCAACAGTTCCTGTATTGAAATTCCACATATATTTTCCCTTATCTGTAAAACAATATTTTTCCCAATAGATATTATTAAGTGACGTGTGATCAACAAATTTTGCTCATAATTTAATTTAGATGGGAGAAATATGAACACCACACCTCACGATAAGAGCCTAACCAATTTTGATCACGTCTCCTCAATGGATTTTCATCTCATGTCGAAGCGTGTGGTTTTTTTTATCTCTCCTCTTCTTGCTCTCTTTCGTCTCGGGCAGAAAACCCGAAAAATTCGTGTGGGGGTCACTTTATCTCGGTAATTTATAGGTAACTTGAGTGACATTTTAGGACTCTCAAAGTGCTTTTAGAGATTAATTCTGATCGTGTTTTGCTGGTCACAAAAAGTCGTACATTTTCGGGACAAATTTATTTCTTTGGCACAGAAGAGATGCAAAGTGACCATGGAACACACAAGAGCTGCGACGATAGTTATCTGGCGAACAGGTGTGATTTTATATGCTCAACACTCATTTCGACGCGTCCGCGGAATGTGTGATTTGCCGACGGGAAATGATCGCTGGCGTGATTCGCCTCACCTGTGGTCGCGGAGGTGATCCTGCCGCCGGAAGGCCTTACCGCAGATGTCGCAGGAGTAGGGCCTCTCGTCCGTGTGCGTCCTCTCGTGGATCAGCAGATTGTAGGACTTGGTGAACTGGCGGTTGCAGAACTTGCAGATGAACTGCTTCTTGGGCCGCGCGCCGGAGCTCGGCGCTGTCTGGGCTGGCTTGGCCTTGGGCGTTGGGGTTGTGGGCAGAGGGATCGGTGGTGGTTTCTCGGGCACCTGGGCGGCGGCTCCGATCTGCTGGTAGGCGGCGTTCAGGAGCAGGCTGGGATAACCGCTGTCGATCGAGAGGGTGTCAGTCGGCGAGTCCAGGGCGGACTCGAATGAGAGATTGTCGTCGTTGTCCAGCAACTCGCCCACATCTGGCAGCTCAGCCTCGGCTGGCTGGCTGGTGAATATCACTGGATCCAGAGACGGGCTCTGCGGCTCCTTGCCGCCCTTCTGGGGAGGAGTGGACGGGGCCGAGAGGCGCAGCACGTCCGACTTGCCCGTGATGCGCTGCAGCGCCAGGTAGGACTCCAGCGCCTGGAGGTTCAGGGCGGCCGCGGCCGCCGAGTGGGCCGGCAGGAGGGCGGCCTGCTGCAGGCTGGTCACCATCGCGCCCTGCAGGCTCAGCACCACCGCGGCGGCGAAGTCCCCCGATGGGGAGGAGGGCTGTGTCTGACGCTTGCTGGCGCCCTGGCACGCTTCCGCTGGCAGGGCGGCTTGTTCCATATTGTCCGTATCACTTGAACCCAATTCACTGTCTCGCTCTCACGCGCAAGGACTCGAGTCCTTGGGTGGCATGTCGCTCTCACCCACACGTTATCCTCATGTGACACCAACACAGGCAAGGCGGCACGCACTCGTTATCTATGCGCCTGCGAGCCTCGTTATCGCGACTCGTGGCAATTTTCACATGGCCGCGGAAAAGCCCTCTGACTCACACTTGATCCGGAGAACGCGCGTGAAACTGGTAGAGACGCAATGTTAGCCAAGTCCACCGTATAACTAAACAGCGAGTGAGTCGACAGCTAGTCGCGGACCTGCTGCCCTCTACACGTACAAGTGCCTCCTATATACATATGTGGCCGGAGAAGTTGCTGGGGCAGCAAGAAGTTGAGGCGTGTGTGTGCCTTACCTGAGGATCGCGAGACTCGTTTCCTTCATCCCACACACACAGCGCCGAGCGAGAACACGATTTCGGCCAGCACCAATGATCATTGGACCCGCTCTCCTCCCGCCGCGCCCGAGAGCATCTCGGGCCCCAGCTAATGATGATGATCAGGGAATCTCTCCCGCGCTGCATTCTTCAGATGTGCCCACCGAGGCGGCCAGAGCAGGAATTCGGAACTCCACATCCTCGAATTGCGATCTTATCACCACCGCCAGATTCGAACAATTTCACTGCAATTATATCCACTCGGCGAGTGACCAATAAATTTCCCCGTGTCATTTGCCTGAACATGAAGCAAATTGAATAGTCAAGTTGAAATTTTCCGTTCTCCTCAGGTGTTGCGGCGCGTGTGTCTGTGTTTGTGGCCCGAAGAGCATCGCCAAGAGTGTTGGTGATGGAATGGAGTTTTGGATCTGTTTATCCAACAAGTTGTTCTCGTCACCCGTTGTCAGATATTTATCACGTGCTGATGCTCTTCTTGTGATTCTCGGTGATTAGTTATATTTCTTCTCCTTTTCTCAACCCCCTCACCACACTCCCATATATCTTCCCAGACGACATCATCCATCTAATTGTTATTCTGGTAAATCGATTGAATTCCACCTTTCATTCCTCGCCTCGGCCTTTTTTTGCGCCGCGCCAGCCTCCAAATGTCCCTGGGAAGATCAGGGAGGAGCGAGAGATCGCAGAGAAATTCTCAGCCACAGCTTGTCATGCTCACGATGCTGGGATTCTCGCAGCAACCATTCGGAGTGAGCAAGAAGTCTGTGGGAAATTATATGACAGCATGCGCAAGAAGTGGTTTTATTTCCTTGCAACTCCACAGATTTCATACAGAACAGGACATTTTTAATAGGATTGGCAATAAAACTGGAAGCATGAGAAAATGGGTGAAACTCCCCTTGATTTATTAATTTCAGGGCTCAAATTGGCAGTCTGGATTGCTCTTGGCGGCTCTGCAGACCCTCGAAATGTGAATTCCCGAGGCTCAAAAGCACCCCACGCACGAGGCAAGATTGGTGAGGTACAAAAACGTCGATTAACACCATTGTTGAGCAAACAAATTGGAATTATTAGTGGCTCTTATTAGGTGTTGTATGCAAATAATGGCAAGTTGTTACACTATGTCGAGCTCAGTGTGAGAGAAGTGCTGGAGATCCATCTGGAGGTGGTGATCCGGCGAAGAGAGCCCGGCATCTTCATTCATCCGCGGACCGGTCGAGGCGGAGGGGCTTTTTTCTTCTTTTGGGCGAGAGGAGATGCCTGAATTTGAACTCACGGGTCGAGATTTTGCCTTGCGGCTCTTCACAGCGGGTCCATCTAAAACGCCCTCGCATATTTGCGTTCTCGCCGTGGCTTTATGGAACTCATCATCTGAATCTATTCCCATTGCGCCTCAACATATGAATATAAACAGATAATGCAATAAATTTATTTATAACACAACTCGTGTGGATATTCCACTTTGAATCACTCTCCCTGGGCCTCTCGCGGGCTCTCGGGGCCGCGTGTGTGTCTCTCCTCCTGGCCGGGCAACCTCAAGCGCGTCACGACATCCAGCGCAGTCCCATTGTCGAGGATGCTGTCCGGCGCGAGCACCGAAAAAGAGAGCCTCAATAAAAGAATTCATGGGCCCAGGCAAGAGTACACGCGCGCCATGGCAATAAAACTCAAATTTCAACTATTAATGCGCATTGCGGGCTTTTCTCACCCATCGCCGCGATGCTGCGGTGGACAGAAATTGGTCATTTCACACTCTCGTGGCAGGAAATCAATAAAAATGACATTATCCCTTTAACGTGTTACACGATAGTTTAGTGTGTTGAGCAATTCTCTGATGGAGTCAAACAACCGTCGAGATGGCTGTTTCTTCCCACTTGAAACATGTTCTTTAACAGCATCGCGCACAAATTTGTTTCACTGGTCGCAACTTTGGTGTGTCTGCCAAGTGCGGAATTTTGTCCGGAGGGGCGCAGGGGCCTCGGTGCTCTTTACACTCCTCCACACCCACACACTCAGACACTTCGTGATAATCTTGCAAATTCTTCTTGGTTGTAAGACACAATCGCGCAACACCATTTCCCCATCCATTTGGGATCATTTTCACGGAGCATCTCAATGGGACCCACAATTGATGGCATGGCGCGCTTGTCTGCGCTTGTCGCGGATATTGCAAGTGAAAGACTGTTGAGCGATTCGATTTTAGCCAAAGTCAAGGGGAAGATGCTTAAAATCTGTGCATCGCGTCGCAGCACTTGAATTTTTAGACTCTCCATGAATCTTCATCCGATATTTCTTTAAAAACCGACTTGAAACCGCTTTTCTGGGTATCTTTTCTGATCATAACCTCAAAATATAACTAAAGAATCTTCAGAGACTCTGTTTGAAAGGTTTCCAGATCACGAAATCTTGTCTTAAGATTTGCCAAAAATAGTATAAAAATTGGTCTTAATAAACATTTTTCAAGTGTAAATAACTATTTTTGAGGTTATGTTCACTTTTAATACGATTTACAGTGTTTCTTGGCGTCAAATCTTCAATGATTGAACTTGAGCACAAAAATTGATGTGCTTCAATGCAAATTATACACTAAATCTCTCCTTAATTTGTTACATAACCTAGAAAAGTTATATGATTATTTCTGCGTAAGAATCAAAAGGAATCCAAAAAATCGAAATAATTTGTCAGCAAAAGAAAGACTCAGAAAAGGAATGATGCAAGTTTTTGAACACATCCACTTCCCAAGACTTTCGCTGAGCTGTACACTACTGCTGATTGTATTATCTCCCCCTTGGCCAAAGTGGTGTTGAATTGCGAAATCTCCTATTCACAATTGCGTTGTGATTGCCAAGAGATAGTTTTATGGATTTTGGACAGGCTTTAAAGATTCAATTTTGCGAATTGTCTTGCTAAAAGTGCAATCAGTCGTTCTCGTGAGGAACTGAATTACTTTCTGCCAACACAGCCAGCGACGCACAAATTGGCCAGAAAGGGTGGGAAAGATGGAATTCCCAGAAGTATCACTAAAATGGAGCTGAAGGTAAAAGTATCTGTCACTAATTGCGGGTCTCTTATGTGCCAAATTGTCGGCGGAATTGGGCAAGAGTGGGGTTCACAAATCAAATCAATTTACTTGTCAATAGATGTGTGTCGTGGCCGAATGCAAAAAAGGAGGGTAAGGAATGGGAGATGATATGGAGAGTCCGTGAGAACTTTTGTGTATGCTTCACAGCTCTGCCGGACCTCGTGAATGCCATTAAATATTGCGCCGCGAGAAGAATGAGAGATAGATGGAGGCAGAGAGTTGGGTGAATTTGATGGTCAGAACAATGGATGCATAAGTAATTTGTATCGAATTAAATGATCAACGTGCAATTTTGATTTCTCTCTATATTCGTCGCGCAGAGTTGGAAATCGCCGAGGGAAAGGTCCGCCGATGGGCGGCAGACAATGGCCGGTGCCTTTCCTTTCCGCATTTCCCGTTGCAAGTCAATTTCTGCAGTCTCTCCGTGGCTCTTTTTCGGCGAAGGCTCAGCAGTCGCGGCGATGGGTGGCGGAGGGAGGGAGAATTCAATGAGCCACTTTTACACACTTCATTATTCCCTCTATCAATCACAGCTCGATACCTGGACACGCTTTTCAAACCATATCATCGCGCACTTTTACACTCAATAGCGCGTGATGTTGATGGACAACAATAGAACGATTTACAAAAATTATAACGCTGCCCAACAACACAGCCGTCAAGAGCGCGAAGAGAGCGGCCAAGGAGGAATGTGAGACGGTGGTGGATGAAAGAGGACTTGAATATGAAACAAAATACCGAAACAAGCGATTGGTATCTTTTATGGTTTGAGATATTTAATTGTATTATTATATTCCTCATCATCGATTGTGCGTCTGGGGCGCAAGATATTGAAGAAGCGGAGGATTATCGAGTGCTCACCAAAAATCATCGATAAACCGCGGTGGGCTCACGACAACAATGCCGATGATGTTGATTGTGCTGATGGAGCAAAAGACCCGCCAATCAATCCATCCCAGGGAGAGGAAGAGAGCATCTTCAAATAGGCATTTTTCGCATTCCGCCGCCCCAATAGAATTCCCTAAATGTTACCCACCAAATTCCTTGTCTTACAACCTCAAGTGCCTTTTTTCTTACTACACACTCAGGCACACACAATCAAATAAATCCTCCTCGGATGTGAGTCGCGTGTTCGCCTCATGGCATCGACGATTAAACATGAATTTGTGTTGCTGAAGGAAATCTTGTCTGGAATTTCTTTTAATGATCGAGAGCCGAACCTTCGGAGACGGTGAGACATGAGCCAATCCAATAAGCCTGCACATTGGCTGGGGCAGGAAAAAAAGCGGAACAGATGTTGATCTATCGTCATTACTTTTGTAACAACCATAATGAGTAAACTACGATGATGGGAGAATGAGCAAGAGCACTTCCTCCACCCACACATCGAGAGCTTTCAATTAGTCAGATACTCTGTCTTCTCGCTGAGGCTTTGCGATGAATTTGAGTACCAAATAAGAGATTTGCTCACAATATCTGCATTTGGTCAGCGGAAGAGGAACAGATTTTGCGCCTCGTGTGGGTGAAATTATTCGCATCCATGATTATCCTTTGGCAAAGTTGCGATCAGGATCTTAAAGGATGATTAAGAAAAGCGTAAACTTGATTTTAGAACAATCATTGCATTTTAAGGTTTAATTGTATTACGACTGAAAGGGAATTTTTTTTCCGGTTTTGGACCATTAACTTTATGATTATTAAATCATGTTTTCTTTATACTTCGTGATTTTTATTTAAAATTTTAATTACTGCATAAAAATTTCAATCGTTTTTTGATTGTGCTCAGAAATATTCAAATTTCAGCTTATAGTATGATTTTTTTGATAATTTCCTTTATATTTCATTATTTTCTCCATATACTGCCGCCAGAGGGCAGCAGTTTAAACTTTAAAGGCATGCACAAGGTCCGATTCTATTTCCTAAAAGCAAAATTTAATATTTTTTCCACTATAAAATATTTAAATATAATTTGTTTTATTAAAAATGCCGAAAATATTAAATTTTTGGTTATTTTGCAATTTTACTTGGAAAATGATTTTTTCTTTATTTTTATTCAATTTTTATTCTTCCATTAAAAGAGAAAATCAATATTTTAATATTTGATTCAGACCGTAAGTTTGACAATCCTAAGTTTACATTCAGAAAGAGAGTTTCCTTCTAATTGTTGATTTTGAGCATCTTAAGCTAAAACGAAGTTTCGCACTATGTGAAACAGGATTTCGAAAGACAAAGCTAGGATGAAGCAAGAGGCAACGAGTCTTCAGGCCATAGTGAGTCATAGAGAAATCTCAGCGCCGCATAAATCTATAGCGCAGCAATAGAGTGACGATCGGGGACTTGGTCAATACTGGCGTGATCGTCCCTTGTCCATCACTGTGGTCTCCAGGGAGTGATCATAAATAACTGGACGCGATAAATCAATTGGACGATGGGCCGTATATCAAAATGAGGCATTGATTTCAAAACGAAAGGCGACTATATCGATCATTAGCACGCCAGTGATTGATCTGCGAGCCGAATTGATTCTCGCCGAGGGGTTAACTTAGTTAGAGGCCCGCGTAGGTACCCCGGCGGGATATCGCGAGACCCACCAACTGACGAGAAGCTCAATGAGCACCGTGGCGGGGGTCTCGCGAATTGGCGGATGCAAGGCATTCCAGCCGAGAATTAATTGTCAGCTAATTGACTGAATTATTTGTCGATGGGGCGAAATTCACGCAACGGAATCGGGCCATGGGCCCAGGAGAGACTGCTCCAGGGAAAGGAAAGACTTCAACGCGCATGCGACGAACCCAGAAATTTTGCAAGTGCGAGAGAAATTTGCTGCGTTTTCTCTCGCACAAAGGCCATGTCACGGCAATCAGTGTCGCATGAGAGCATAACTCAGAGTCTAATGCTTTCGCAAATGTCTCATAATTGTGGCTGAAAATTATCCCGCGCACGACGTGCAAATGCGATTCCCCCGCACTTGATGACCTCTGCATTGCCGCGATATATTCGCTTCCCATCAATTTTGCAGCAATAAAATATCATTCAATACAATACGCGAGACAGCTTCTTATAGTATTTCCACTTAATCAATTAGTAATAACTCTTCTGCATACGCGCATTGGCCATTCATGCCACAGTTGTAATAATAAATAACATCAGTAAGTTGCATCCAAATCAATACCATACACACACCCCCTCCCGTCGCGAGAGCCTGAAAAATGCGACGTGCAAATGTGTGTGATAACGATAGGCGCACAATAAGTCTGCGCCTCATGCGGATTCTCCGTAATTCGAGTTCAACACGCGGCCACGAAATATATAAATTTATCTACAAATCCCCCGAGAATGGTGTCGCTCTCGCGCAGCGCCAACATCATCTAATTGTGATAATAAATACGTGACATTAAACAACATCAGAGACGACAAAGCGTGCGAGTAGCGTGCAATTTTCAATTTAAAAGCGCTATAGAATCACTTTGGTGCACATTTCCACGGGCCCAGGCCAAGTGGGGCCTCCGCGGAGTCACTGTGGATGTGGTTCATTGCGGCAGTGACAAAATAAATAATAAAGGTGCGAGATTACGGAGAAATTATTGGACTTTGCTGGGGGTCGGCGAAGTAATGGAATCTGGCATGGATGGACAGAAGGAGCGAAAATGATCTGCAACAAAGTGCTTCTTGGACGGGCAAAATTGCAGAAATAATGCAGAAAACTGGCAATTTGATATTTTTAAAATAAATTCCACCGTCGATTTTCGATATTTTGCTGAAATTTCACAAGATTCTCCTTCCGATCCCATTTCTGACACCAATCTTGCAAGCTAGAATTGCTGAAATGCGACTGAGACCGTTGCATAAGATCATTTATTGAATTTATAACTCAATTTAAATGTGAAAGGATGTTTAAGAATTGAGCATTTCTGACTCTTTTTTCTTGCCAAATGAATTCGTGCATAATATTTATGGCAATATCTGTCTTCGTTTCCGCTTACGGTGATGCTGGCAATCCGCAACAGCGCTGCATTGCGATCGATTTTCAGCGTCTGAAAAATCAATCAACATTGTTGTGATCGTGAAATGATCATATTTATGCGATAGTGTCATGTTGGAAATTTTTATCCGCCATGTCCATCAGGCCTGTCGGTCATTTGTTTTCTTACCGATAAGGCTTTCCCTCCTTTGCATTTGGTGTGTCTTCGCCCCGCCGACCATTTCTGTTTGGTTTTCTCGATCTGGGGCCCGCTTTTTTGCGCGCCACTCTCGATCTCCACCCGCAAGGCAGAACAGGACAGACGGACCGTGAGACAGAGGTGGAGAATGGGAAAGAATATGACTAATGGTCGCTTGAAGGGAAATCAATGTTTGTTCGGTAGATGACTATTGATCCATCAATCATTTTTAACGATTGATGATTTTCCGTATTTTATCTCTCGTGCCTTAGATTTTAAACATTGGTTTTTTCACGTGATTTACACCCCTTAAAAATTAATCCATTAATTTACAAGCATGCTCGAAAATTTGTTTACCAGTAATTGAATTAATACCCTGGAAATTCCATTGGCCGGCAAGATGATCTGGCCCTTGACAAAAGTTCAACTTTCCAGCGAAGAGATCTTTCTCATCTCTCTCCTCTGCGCCTCACTTGAGTTCTTTATTGAGAAATGACTCAAACAGTGCCGACATGTCAGTCAATTCGCACCGCAGCAGATTTTTGATGGTCGAAGCAAACAGATCATTCGGCAAAGTGATGGTTCCATTATTGACTGATGAGAGAAAGAAGCGACCCGAGGAAAAAGTTGCCAACAGATATCATTCTAGATCGCGTGCTCATTTCCTCGGGACCGTGGCAAGTGTGAGGCCCGAGGAATTTGCACCTCAGTGCGAAAATTGTGGAGCCTTGAGGGCGCTGAAGCGGAGGATTTCGTGGGTGCGATCAGTGGGCAAATATTTGCCAGTTTTTCCTGTCGTCACTGAGCCAATAGAGAGATAACTATTTTTGTTGATTTTGGATCATTTGGCCTGGAGGTAAACAACCAATAAAAGTAAAGCCTTGCGCCCGCCTTTGGCGCTCCAGTGAAAGATCGCCATCAAAGGAAGCGAATCCGGCATTATGGTGAATGTGTGAAATTGCCATTTCCTTTTCTTGTCGCACACTTGAGGAGGCCGAAAAAAAACTCCATTCAAGAACTGAAACTCTTTCGTGCCCAAGAAGCTACGAATGGCGAAAGCCACGCAACATAATTTGATATTGCGATGAGACAGTTTGAATCACAGCTCTTTCCATTGATCGCCAGTTCTGCTTATGATCTGAAAACATCAGAAATAAAGATTATAAAGCTTATCACTTAGATTTTAGTTAGATTTCAGTGGATTTGCAGTTGATGAAAGTCAAAATTAGCATCAGAATAGAAGATGTACAGATGTTAGCCACATTATCTCCTCCTTGTTCATGGCGGAAATGAAGATGGAAAAACAATGTTAGATTGGAAAGCTTGAAAAGCGCGAATCTGAGGGAATTTGAGTGTTTCCCAGAGAGTTTTTGTCAAGGGTGACAAACTGAAAGCACTGAAACATTTGGTGAATGATTCCTAGAAAGTTTAGCTGTTTCAAGCTTACTCTGACGTTCACTTAACATGTCTTTTTCCAATTCAGTGCTTACAAGGAGGAAACACGAGATGAGGAGTTTTCTATGAAAGTTTCCATGACGCAATGATGAGATTTCTCACGCGAGCCTCCATTCATGAATGTCTTCATTGGGGCCCACGAGCTGAACGGGGGAAAAAAGCAAAGAAAATACACGAGTTTGGTCAGGTAACAACTTGAGTCATCATTTCTAAGCAAGCTAATGTGTAAAGAGACTTCTTTTGATAATTTATGAACATCTTTGTCAATTTGAACAATTTCACAATACAAGCTCCAGACAGTCGGAAGAGTGCGCGCGCGGGAAAATGCCCAAAAGCCTTTGAACATCACCCATTGTCACCGGAACCAATTCTTTGTCTTCCATCGCAACACTTCAGCACTGCACTTCGCGACAGCGAAATTTTCAAATGCGCGCGCCCAGGAAATAAATTGTTTGCCGTGTGGAAGAGATTCTTGTGCCCAATGAAAGGCAAGAACAAGACATTAGAATGCGCTTGCGATAAGAAATTCATGTCTTCTCCGCAAACAAGTAATTTACCTTTGCCGCGGCCCTCCAGCCTCGCGCCCCTTTGGTGGATATTGTAAATTTGAGCGGATTTCTTGTTCGTCTCTTTGGCAGTTCCTCTTGCGTTCGTGTTGCACTGCTTGAAACCAATGAATGAAATTGCTGAGACCTGTGAACCGTCCATTCTGGCATTCATTGGGAGACGAGAGATACATTGTTCTTATCTCCGCTCGCCATGTTTCGCACAGAGTTGTTTTGGTCCCTTTGGCCGGCACTCAGGACAGACTTGATATGCAATTGCTTTTGATTTTACTGGGCAAATGGCTTCGCGCGCGCAGAGTTCTGCGAATCCAGAAGAGGTCACTCGATTTTTTCTGCCTTAGACTCCTCAAATTTGTTCGTTTATGTGCGCACAATGAATCCGCGGTTGGGCTCTTAAAGCGTGTCAAGCGCGTCTTTGTGGGCCTTCGCGCAAATCCTTTTCCGCTGATTTGTTAATGCAGACGTAAATTATGGCTCTATTAGTCATTGGAAAAGTGTTATTTCCTCACACACTCCATCGCGGCGCAACTGTGAAATTGCGGATTTCAGCCACGATGGCAAGACATACAAATTGACCCGAACTTCTGGCTGGAGCGTGTGGGCTGGCGAGATGGTACTGAAATTGTTTGGATTGTGTGAAAATTTATTGTAAAACATTAAATTTCACACGGGCAGCCTTTTTCCAGCGCGCGCGCTGAGCGGCAGACAATAAATATCCGTGAAAATTGTCACAAGAGCCAATTACAGCCATCAACTACGGGGGAGAGAAACCAATTATCTTGCGTCCAATTATTAATAATTTCGCTGAATTAACAGCGCAATCGTCGCCAGATGGAGAGGCCGCTCTCGTGTCCCTAAGCGAGGTGGCACTGGCATCATTTGACGCACGCATAAAGTCCGTAATGGACATTTTTGGGCGCAACATCGCGGGGTTTTGGGTCTGCGCCTTGGGCCTTTTGGCGCGCGATGGCTTTGTGTGCAGTCGCCAGGAGGCAGAAGGGGCAGAGAGTGCCGGCGGGGGGCGATAACAAACGCTATGGGGACTCCACCCAGCATGTCACCACCGAGTTCCATCCAGGTCCTCTCCTCTCTTGGGCCCGGCCGCCGACGAGCCCGGGATGACACTGCGCTTTGCGCCGACGACCGCGAGGCGCTGCACTGAGAGCAAACCGCAGCGAATACTCCAAGACGATTAATCAGACAATTGATCACAGCATCTTGCTTTGAAATTTGAGACCAGATTCGACGATCCCAGAGTGATTCCCAGTCAAACACAGGAATGTTAAACTTCAAACATATGAATGACAGGCTTTGTTATTCTCGCTGAAATAGTGTTAGGAAGCTATAAGTGATTACACATTGTGTAAGAGAAGCGAAATTTCTCAAAGTGGTGAATGTTTCAACACAATTGCCATAAATCGCCATTTATGCTTTACATGCGTGATTTAGAATAGCAAAGGACTATTTTAAACTAACTTAACACATTTTTAACATTACTTGTTTGACTGGGAATCGCTCCAGACACACAGAAAACCAAATTCTCTACTCAAATTGACAAGAATCACTGCGCAATCTTAAGCTTTCTATCAGAATCTCTGTCTAAAATGAAAGGATAAACGGGAGAATTGCTCTCAGTGTCTGCGAAGCCCCTTAAAAGCGCATTGCTGGGTTGTGGGGAAAATGCGCGCGTAGCAGCTTTATGTGATTTCTGGGATTCATCATTGGGACGCATCACGAGGGACGCAGAGGAGCTGAGAAAGACACCTTCGGCATTGTGTTGTGTCAAAACGAATATTCATAAATTTGAATTTATATTCGTATTGAAAATATTTGACGTTATTAATGATGTACAAGATCATGTCAACGAATTATTAATATGATTGTTGTCGATTGCCTTTCATCTCCAAATGGGCTGGACTGCAGTCGAGTGTGCGCATCCTTTCTGCCCATGCGTTGAGTCATGCCGGAAACAGGACGTGGTTGCTAAACCGCATGGAGTGATAATAAAAAGGGTGAGTTTATGGCAAATTCGCGAGACGCACCAGCGCCAATAATTTATAGAGTCCAGACGCAGCTTCACCCAAAATGAAGTATAAATTTACTTTTATCGATTCCTGTTTTGACACTCTGTTAAGGCTGACAGTCCGAGGAATAGGCAGAAATTGGCGCCAAACCACAGAAACTCCTTAAACACAGAAAATCACGTGTCGCGCTTTCTTGTTGCACCGCCCTATCAAGTGCCGGCCATCGCGGCTCACGAAGAAGCCCAAAAGTCATCTATAAGCCGGTGAATGAGGAAAAATTAATATAAATATTTTGAGATGGAGTAAGATACATTTATCAGATATGAGCACAGCTTACCGGACTCCCGCTGTTATGACAAAGTGAAGAGCTGATGCGCTTAACCGGTGTTAATTCGTTAAAATTAACTCTGCGACATGTGACAATTTTTTAACATCATTGTCTTACAAATGTTTTCATCTTGCCTTCTTATGCCACTTGGAATGTCTTCTCTGGCCGCATAGGCAATAGGAGAGCCACGCTGCATGGGAGTTTATTGAGATCCTAGGGTGAATTAATCTGCAGTAATCCTCAGATTACACATGTCAAGGTGTCGACTTGGAGGCTTTGCCTTCGGACGCTGTGTGAAGAGGGTGTTTTCCAAGATGCGTCGGCAATTGATGGATACTTTCGGGCAGAAATTACCAGCGACTCTCCCGGTGGAAATTTGCTCCGCACTCACCAATTGTGTGCCATATAAACGGAAGCCCCGAGTCTTATTGTTGTCCAACTTATAACGCGGTAGTTAAGGAGTGAAGAGTCGGGGCCTATTAAATGGTCTGCCGACCATGCGGGGACCCTTGAAAGAGAACCATCAGCCGCGTATATTTCATCGGATGAAGAAGTCCGTCAGAGGAAAAAATGGGTTACCACCGCATTATTTCACGAGAGGAGAGAATATGCGCCCATTGTGCGAGCCACCTTTTTGAGGAAGGTATAAATTTTCGACATTTATGACATTACAGAATAGAACAAACTAATATTATCCAACTGCTGTGAAGCCTACATCTGAAAATTAGATGAAAAGGTTTCGGAGGTGGAGGAAGAGGAGGAAAAAAAAATGTGAAGAGTGGTGAGGCGGCTTCTTAAGGCTTGAAAGAGAGGAGCAGCAACCACAAGAAATAAATCTATTCGCTTTCCCATCATCAATGGCAATATATAATTTTTCCCTCGACGCCGAGGATGGCTCTCCCACTACTCACGGTGGAACCGAATAACTTACCAGACGGACAGCTTTAATTTGTTTCGCCATTATTTTATTAAATTTATGTTTGATTTAGTTCACATTTTTTTCACCCGGGAGAGCATGTGCGCGCCCTTAAGATGATCTCCTGCGCGCGGCGCGCAGGTATTGGTGATTATCACTGAGGCAGAGGAGAAATTTTTATAATACGTAAATTTTGATGGTTTCTTTTTGTCTCATCCTCCGCTTCTCAGGTCGTTTTCCAGGGCGCTCACCGCCTTTGGGTCATCTCACATTCATTTATACCACGTCTGTATATTATTTCATATTAACTGCTGGTCTATGAGTGAAGATTGTTGAGAACTCCTGCTGTGCTCCTGAATTGAACTAACCAACCTGGAGGCAACGAAAATAATATAATTTTTATTTTTGGCTCTTAAAACCGCGCATTCTCAGTTTATTTATCTTTTTTTACCTTCCAGCTTCTCTTTTTCCCGCTCATCTTTTATTTTGACGTTTTTCTCAATGCCTCCGCATCTGCCCCACCAAATTAAAACAGTCCCCCAGAATGAAATTCCCCACCATCGTGGATGTTTATGGTATGTATCATGGCAATTTGCATGAGAATTTGTTTGCTCTCCGGCCAGCCAATATGAAATATTCATCCTTAATGACAAGAAGCCAGAAACAATTTCATCTTTCGGAGAAATCCCTAATGGTTGCGCCCAGAAAACTTCCTGGGCTTCATTAATTTTGAGGGCTACTGCTGCAATTCGCAGTGCATCAACCCTCTTCTGCCTCCGTCAAGGGATGCACAGCGACAATTAATCACTCATGGCGATGCTGCAGTCCTGAGGATGAGTGTCTGAATTCCTTGTTCAAATATGTTGAAAATGTCTTGCGCTAATGATTGTGCATCGCAGCATGTGTTCCACTCTCTCTCTCGCCCTCGAAATGTGCTCCTTTTTCGCCCAAAATCTAATCCTCAGTAGCAAATTATCCTGGAAATGATTTCCCGGCGATCAAGTTATCAGGCAATCTCTCGGCATTCCAAGTGATCGACAAAAGGGCACCGAAAGAGCCCATCAGAAAATTCTTTCACGGGTGTTCCTGGCCATAAAATTCCATAGAGAAATTATTACAATAATTTATTCCAACAAGTGGCGCTTTCATTTATTATTTCTCCACTGGAGTGCCTGTCCAACAATGCGACGTCGAGAGGATGAAGATTCGATTCGGACCCTGGATTTTAAAGATGAATTTTATGGAAATTACACAAAAGTCGCTGGACATTACCATTGTGGGCACAACAGACAAATTCTCCTCACAAAGGAGTGAAATAAATTGTCGCCGCGCTGGTTGGAGAATAGATTTTTGACAATAATAATCCAATAAAGTGAGGCCAAAGGGGAGCCCAAGGAGGTATAGGATTTACATATGAAAAGACGACGTCTTTTGTCGTGGAGAAAAATAGGCAGAACAAACATTTCCATCGGCGCAGTGAGAAAACACAGAACATCAATAGCCCGATAAGTGACGAACCCGAGGGAGTCTCTCGCGAAAAAGGCCTCTGCTGAAATATCCGCCAAATTTAATTAATTGATTCTTTTTCACTTTACCTGTGGTTGGACGAGTGAGAAATTGCCGTGCGGTGCAAATTCTTGGCGAAAAGAGAAGAAATCTCACCACTTGGCAGAGACCATAAGTCACTACACAATGTCAGCTTGGCCCATTATCTGGCCAACACAATATTTGATGAATAACACAATGGCCACAAGATGAATGTGTCATAGATTTCACTTCTTTCATCTGCAGACTCTCAGTCGCTGCACTATTAACAGCCACTTTTGGGGTGTTTATGGGAAAATTGGCGGCTTTCGTGCCTTTATGCATGGCGTCAAAGAAGCTGCCGTGGATGTTTTGGGGGAAAAGCATCGGACAACGGTAGTGGAGAGCCTGGGAAAGTTCCATGGGCCTTTTGTGTGTGGAAGAAAAGAGATAAATCTGTGGTCGAGAGCTTGACAAATGCGCCCAGGGAAGATTCAAGTCATTTAACACTATTTGTCGTGTCAAAGTATTCGTTATTTCCTGGCTAAAATACCAGATGAAGATATTATTATTATTTTCGTAAAGGGTTAAATTCAGAGCCTTTCTTCACCACCTCGCCGACCAAGTGACTCTCGCTCGTGGCGATTATTCACGGTGATTATGGTGAAGGCAGAGACAAAGAGGAGAGATATTCAATCAATTAAGAAATCAGCTACTGTTGCAATGCAGCTCCTCTTGAAATAATTTATGCAAACAGAGTACCACTTTGCTCCAATTTGCAGTCACTTTTTCAAAGTAAGCGAAACGCCCATCCCTCCAGGTGG